GGATTCTACTCCTCCACGTCTGAGCAGCAACGGGTGACAATGTGGAGAAGTAGCCTTTGCCTTACTCTATTCTTTTTAACAGCAAATTCTAATAGAGAACTCTGAGAGAATTCTCTCTCGATTCCTACTGCTTCTCAGCAGCAGATGGCAATAGAGAGCTCTCCAACCAATCTGCCTGGCAACAAGTGACACCACAGAGTTAGTTTTGTTTTGCTTTTCTGACACTGTTCAGAAATCGTTCTTCCTTGTCCCTCTCTTCCATTCCCCCAAGCTTTCTCGGTTTAGCAGCTAGGTCCTCTCTACGAAGGACCCCACCTCAGCGTAAGGTTGGTAACCAAATGCTCAATTTCTATCTGGGATCATGATATTACTTTCATCCCATGTGGTGATCCAAGGATTTAATGACCATCTCTATGCTGATGCTTCTCAAATCTGCCTGTCCTGCCCCAGCCTCTCTGCTGACCTCCGGTCTCGAATCTCCAACTGCCTGTCAGACGTCTCAAACTGCACATCCAATAGACATCTTAAACGCAATATGTCCAAAACAGAACTCAGAATCTTTTCCCCTAAACTCTACCCCACTCCTTTACCTTCCCTATTACTGTCAAGAGCACGAGTCCTTCAGGCACAACCTAGGAGACATGCGACTCCTCCCTACCTCTCACCCTCCATGTCCTTATTATGTCTCCAGGATCAAATCCAAAACCCTTGGCTTGGCATTCAAAGCCCTTCACAACCCAGCTGCCTCCTACCTTCCCAGTCTTCTCACACCTCACTCCCCTCCATGTTCTCTTTGATCCAGAGACTCTGGCCTCTGTCCCACTAATGAGAGCCTCCATCTCTCTGCTCTGGCTCTCCTCCATGCCTGGGATGCTTTCTTTCCTCATCTCCATCTCCTGGCTTCCTGGGCTTCAAGTCCCAATTATAAATCCCATCTTTTACAGGCAGCTCTCCCCAACCCATCTTAATTTCAATGCCTTCCCTCTGTTGATTATTTCCTATCTATCCTGTATATAGCTTACTTTGCAGATATCTGTTGTCTCCCCCATTAGGTTGTAAGCTCTTTGACGGCAGGGACTGTCTTTTGCCTCTTTTTATATCCCCCATGCTTAGTACAGTACCTGGCACATAGAGTAGCCACTTAACAAATGTCTATTGATTGACTGATAAAATGGTCTGTGGCCCCATTTCCCTAGTCTTTAACCTAAAAATTCTCCAATTCTTCACCTACAAATAACTAAAACTGACAGTGTGCTTCTTTTGATCCAATATTTAAAGCATTTTGTATGCAAATGACCAACTGCTGTCTCAGAACTTTAAGTCAGACAACTCAGTAATTGCTTCTTTCAGAACTCCAAGGCAGACATATATCAAGAAACATCCCTTACATACAAAAAAAAGTTTTTTTCTCTGAAGCTGTGCCAGTAAGGTTTCGATATTCTGGACCCCAGTCATCTCAGTGACTGGAGGGGATGTCCAATGGGAGGGGATAAGGTGATGAAAAGGATCAGCTTTCATTTTTTAGTTTAGGATGCTTTAAAAATCTGTTGTCTATAGAAACTGGGATGCTACCAAAAACAAATAAACAAACTTTATTTGGGCTGAGATGAACATTATCGAAACTTTGAAACCATGATCACAACTTTGAAACAAGTTCACCCAGCAGTTTAGGGGTGTAAGGCCAAATAGTCATTAAACAGCTTTTGCCATTGTCGAGGTGAATAGTTTTGAGAGAGAACAATAGAGTCAGTCAGTCTTGGGCAGCTAGGTGGCACAGTGGATAGAGCCCTGGGCCTGGAGTCAGGAAGTCTGATCTTCCTGAGTTCAAATCTGGCCTCAGACACTCACTAGTTGTGCGACCCTGGGCAAGTCACTTAGCCTTGTTTGTCTCAGTTTCCTCACCTGTAAAATGAGCTGGAGAAGGAAATGGCAAACCACTCTAGTGTCTCTGCCAAGAAAACCCCAAATGGGGTCAGGAAGAGTCAGAGACGACTGAGCAACTGGGGAGACAAAGATGGAAAAGGAGCTATTATTTTAACGGTAGAGACTGGTCATTTACTAGGCACATATAGATACGTGCAAGTAGATGGGAGATAGGCTCAGAGGGAAAGGCATTAGCACTTGGACAGGAAGGGAATGTTGGGGGGCAGGAGGAGAAGAGAGATCAAGAAAAACCCCCAGATGAAGGTAGAGTTTGAGCTTGAAGAAAACAGACCCTTTATTCAAGAGTTTACAGCTTTCCTTTCTGATTATCTCTGTGAATTCATCTGTATGGTGGAAGGGGCAGTCAGGGTTCTGTCACTGGGACGAAAAAGCTCCAATGTATCAATGTAATACACACAGTGTATTCGCTCACAAGCAACATTCATTTGTTTGCATTCACAGAGGATGGGTGGCATCTATTGCTACAAAAATCCCAAACAGCAAAATGTCTACTTACATAGGGCCAAGGCCATAGAATAATAGATACAAAATATCATGGAAACTGTTTCAGTGATTATGGTTTTATCGGCCTCCAAACACGCTCCAGGATCTATGGGACCATAGAGAAGTCATTTTTCCTTTTTGGACCTCATTTTCTCTATTGTAAAACAAAGTATCGAACTGGATCAATTTTATAATTCCCTATCCTGTGACCCCCGGCATCACATCAAGTGCCTCAACACTAAGGCTCCTAGGCACTACAGACCCCCAATTCATGCAGGGGTGTGCTGGGGGCAGCTCATGCCCGCTCCAAGAGCTGACTGTTACTTTTTCAGTGTGAATATTCACACCTTGGAAATCAGAAAATACTACAAAGCAGGGCTTGATTGGGCTTTGTTGATTGTTCAGACTTAAGAAAGTGATGGACAAAATGTTAATAGTGAAGATTAGATGTAAATGTATGTTTGGGGTACATTTTTTTTCAGTCAGTTGTTAAATAGTTATCACCACACACCCCTGTCTAGAGGCCAACACTGACTCCCACAATGTTCCACTATTATTATTTTGTCAATATCTACATCAGAAGGCCAGAAGTTACGCTTCCAATCATTTCCTTTGGCCCCACACTACTGCTCCCACAATATACCTTGTGTCAGCCACGGCTACCTTCATGCGCCTGTGGAGCCCTGGGAAACCAGAGAAGGCCTCTCCAGGGGCAGCTATGTGGCACAGTGAACAGAGTGCTAGACCTGGAGTTGGGAAGACTCATCTTCATGAGTTCAGTTCTGGCCTCAGACATTCTTAGCTGTGTGACCCTGGGCAAGTCACTTAGCCATGTTTTTCTTTATTTCCTCAACTGTAAAATGAACCGGAGAAGGAAATGTCAAACCACTCCAGTATCATTGCCAAGAAAACCCCAAATGGGATCATGAAAAGTCCAGCATGACTGAAGAACAGCAAAGGCCTCTCTCGCCCTTACCCATTTATAAGATGGAAGAGTTGGACAATAATATTTGTGCTTTACAGGTTGAAATCTTATGGCTACCAGTCTCCCAAGAGAAGGGCCGAGGTTCCTTCCAACTGCACTCAATTCTAATAGCTAGCATTTGTAGATGCTTTAGGGTTTACAAATATTATCTCGTTTTATTCTTACAACTACCCTTCCAAACACCCTACCTAGGAGGTAGGTGCTATTATCATCCCCATTTTACAGATGAGAAAACTGAGGCAGAGTTGCTCAGGGTCTGAGGTTGGATTTGAACTCAGGTCTTCCTAGTATAATGCCAGTCTTAAAGCCCATTGGGAAGAAGGAGGAGGAGGAGGAGAAGGAGAAGGAGAAGGAGAAGGAGAAGGAGAATAGGAGGAGGAGATCTCTAGTCTCTTTCCTTCTTTGTGTTCTCTTCAAGCTTTGGGTCTCTAGGTTCTGTGGGCACTTCTGGCTTCTACATTTGATGCTAACCCCACTTCAGGATGAGGGAAAAGACTGGGAAGCCAACATGAGAAGAGAGGGCAGTCTCCACTGTGGCCCTACCTCCAGTTTGCTACACTAGAGACTTTGAGGAGTTCCGCTCCGTGAGATCTAGGGCGCTCTCTCCTTTGAGCTGAGTCTCCTCTCGCTCCCAATGGGAGAGCTCCTTCACTCTGCATTGTCTGGTGTATATTCTTCGATTTGTTTTTCTATGCACTTGGATAAATGGGTCTCTTTGCTACTTCCAATGTGCGTTCATTGTGGACCTGGCATTGGGAAAGGCGTCAAATCTTGGATAGAAAGCTTGGGGTCCTGCTCTCCCCCAATAAGGAGATAGCGATCAGATGTTAGATTGACCCTGACAATCACATTCCCTAGATGACAACATTGAAGGAGCAGACAGAAGTCCAATCTGGTACCCTCTCTGAAGACAGCAGAGTGGTCAGCCTCTGGCCCCACCCTCCTGCATCCCCCCCGGCAGGAATGAAAGGAGGGGAGAAGAAGCTAGATATGGCTATTCTGTCTCCCTTAGGGCCACCCCCAGACACTCCTAGGCCACATGTTGGGGACACCCTCGCAACACGAGGGCTTGGAGTCAGATACGTCAGCCAGCCAGTTCTCACAACCGCCTACCATTACCCTCCTCCATACCCCTCCAGGAACTGCAGCTCCCGAGACCAGGAGAAGACAGCAGCTCTCCAACTACCCTAGTCCTGAGGACTACAACTCCCACAATGCCCTCTGCCTGAGGGATACAGCCCGCCCCCCTATCCCGAATCAGAAGACTACAGCTCCCACAATCCCAAGGACCCAAGACCGCATCCATTTCTTGGGCCTAAGGACTACAGCTCCCACAATGCCTTGCTCCCTCAGACTCAGGAACTTCAGCTGTCCCATTATCCTGGATCGACTCCCCAAAGTCCTACCTGAGGGATCAGAGAGAGTAACAGACAACACCTACCATTCCCTCGCGCTTCCGGACTACATCCCCCATGATTCCTCGCTCCCACGCTTCTCCGTTCCCTTTGTAATCGACTTTCTAGGTCAGCCAGGAAGCGGAGCAGAAGAGCTCGGCTCCTCGGAACTACAGCCCCCACCACACCCCTCGGACTACGACTCCCAGCAGCCTCTTCATCACGACAAACGGTCCCGCAGCCACATCGGATCCGGAGGCGGAGGCGGCAGCAGCAGCAGCGGAGGGTAAGCAAGGTGGGGTCGGGGAGCTGGAGGATGGGAAGGGGGGCGCGCCCCGGGGGACCTCCCGGAGGCGGCGACGAGGGTCTCACTGCTGTCCCCCCGCAGCCGTAGGAGCAACTGGAGACAATGGCGGCGGGAAGCGACTTGTTTAACCCCGGGACGGAGGAAGAGGGTCCAGGGCTCAGTGCCAAGTGAGCAGGAACCCCCATCCCCCGGGACCCAGAAGTCCGGATCCCCATTCTCCAGGAACCAGGAATTCAGATGCCCAGTCCCGTCCACCACCACCCAGCCTTGCATGAATCCGGACCCCCATCCCTACACCATTGCCCAGGAGTCCGGATCCCCATCCCATCCCCATCCCATCCCCTGGTACCCAAGATTTCAGATAGCTGGTCCCTTCCTAACCCTTCAGGAGTCCAGGCCTCTCACTTCTACCCCTTTAACCCAGTAGTCCAGACCCCCATCCCATGCTCTGGGACCCAGGAATTCAGATGCCCAGTCCCATGCCCCCTCCCCCAACCCTGCAAGAGTCCAGCCCACTCCCTGGGACCCAGGAGTCCATATCGCCAGTCCTGTCAAACCCCACCCCCAAGACCTAGGAATTTGGACCCCCATTCTCATCTCCTAGGCACCTTCGTCCCAGGATCCCGATATCCTGACCTCCCAAACTCTCCTCTCTAGGACCTTGGAGTCCAGACCCCCAGCTACCACTGTCCTCTAGCCCTACCTCCCTGTCAGGTGTCCAGATCCCCAGCTATGGGGCCAGTGATTCCATCTTCCTGACCCATTGTCCCACCCTCTGGGGAATCCACCGACTCCTATCAGAGACCCAACTGTCTTCAATTTAACTGCCCTGCCCCTGGCAGGGGGCCTCAGGCATCCTGATCCCTCAGCTCCGCCCCATTCAGGCATACCTCTCCCTTAGTCCCTTCAAGGGCCGCCTCGGGACTCAGATGTCCTGGTCCCCCACTTCCTGCTGCACTCTGGGACCTTATCCCCTATCCCCTACTGAGCCACTTTCCTTGTTTGCCCCAGGACGCTGCTGCCCAAGCTGCTGCCGGCGGGCTCAGCTGGCCGGGAGTGGCTGGAGCAGCGCCGGGCCACCATCCGGCCCTGGGGCCCCTTCCTGGACCAGCGGCGTTTCTCGCGGCCTCGAAACCTGGGTGAGCTGTGCCAGCGCCTGGTGCGCAACGTGGAGCATTACCAAAGCAATTACGTCTTCGTCTTCCTGGGCCTCATCCTGTACTGCGTGTGAGCCCCTCTCCGCCCCTCCCCAAGATCTTGCCCCCAGGGCGCAAACTCCTGCAAGCCCCTGGCCCCTGGGGCACATCCTCGATGCAAGCCCCGCCCCCAGGGCACAAACTTAATGAGAAACCTGCCCCCTCCCCAATTTGACTGGGAGCCCCGCCCCCATGACGCCTACTCTGTAAGCTCCGCCCTCTGGTCAGGGTCCCAGCCTGGGGCCCCGGGCCCTCCGCCAGGCGGGCATTCTCTTCTCTGGGCAGCCTCTGAGCCCCTGCCCCTTGCCCCCGCAGGATCACGTCCCCCATGCTCTTGGTGGCCTTGGCCGTCTTCTTCGGAACCTGTTACATCCTCTACCTGCGCACCCTCCAGTCCAAGCTGGTCCTCTTTGGTGAGGCTGCCCCGCACCCCCCGAGGAGAGGGCACGAGGTTTTGAACCCCGTCTCTGCCTCTTAACCACCTGTGGGACCGGCCACCCAGGGCCTCCGTGGATAAAATAAGGACCCTAAGGCGGGCCTCCCTTTGCTAAATCTAAGACCCACTGCTGCAGGTGTTCCAGCTGGCCACATCTAGACAGCCAGGTGGCCCCAGGGGCCCGCCTTCCCTCCCAGCCCGGGCATCACAGGAGGCCTGAAAGGTCCTTAGGGACCATCTAGGCCAGGAGCTCCTTACAGGCCTCTTCTGAGCTGCCCCTCTCCCTGAATCTCAGAGCACTTAAAGGGCCAGTGCTCCCTGCTTTTCACAGAGAGGTTTTAGAGAACAGTCCGTGCCCAGCCTCATGTCAGCTAGGAGTGCTGGATGTGGAGTCAGGAAGACCCGAGTTCAAATCTTGCTTCAGACACTCATTAACCTGAGGCAAGGCTTCTGTAAAATGAGGGTCACTTAGGCCCGGTGCTCTCTTTCGCTCTGGTATTCTCTGGGACCCTGGAGGCTGTGAAGCCTCTTCCCCTCATTGACAGATCTGATCTCAGAGGGACCTTGGGGTGGCCCTGGGAGGGCTTCCTGGAAGGAGGTGCCATGTGACCTGGACCTTGAAGGACAGAGAGCTCCCTGGACTGTCTGGGAGGGCCTCTGCAGGAGGGATTATTGCTAATGGACCTTGATGAAACTCCTAGCAGGAAAGAGATCCCCTTGGGGGAGGGGAGCCAGTGAGGAGTTCCTGGAATTGGGCCTTGAAATACATGGGGAAAGAAATAATTAAATAAATGAAAAGAAATGCAAGGAAGAGCTCGGAGGACGGAGTTCTCTAGGGGCCTTGGGGATGGCCTACCACGAGGGAGGTGGGCAGCAGTGTAGGAGAAGGGGCCTCTGCCTGTTGGGAGGTCTTCCACAGAAGCTTGGCAAGCACTGGTGAGGACTGTTATAGCAGGAATTCCTTTTTGTGTATGGACTGGAGTGTGGCCTCTGGACTGGGGCCAACAGTCTCTCCTAGTCTGTGATTCTGGTGGGAGTGGGCTGGGCCAGCAGAATCTTGGGAGATCCTGAAAGATGGCCCATCCCTGTGTCCCCTCTCCCTGTCTCCACCAGGCCGAGAGATGAGCCCAGCACATCAGTATGCCTTGGCAGGGGGCGTCTCTTTCCCCTTCTTCTGGCTGGCTGGAGCTGGCTCAGCTGTCTTCTGGGTCTTGGGTAAGTATGTTCTGGGCTGGGGCGGGGGGGCATGTGTGTGAGGAGAGTGGGATTCTAGCTCCTGACCTTCCTGTCCTCCCCTCTGGCTCCAGGAGCCACGCTGGTGGTCATTGGATCCCATGCAGCCTTCCACCAGCTGGAGGCAGCCACCGATGGGGAGGAGCTGCAGATGGAGCCTGTGTGAAGGCCCCCCCCCACTCAGAGCCTTGGAGACCAAGCCTGCTGGCCCCCCTCCTCTGCCCAACCTTGCCAGGCCCTGAGGGCTCCCCCCAAGAGAGCAGGTGGAGAGTTTGGGAGCCTGGCAGAGGGAAAGCAGAGCCTGAGAATAAAGTCCAGCCCTCTACATAGGAATGTGGCCTTGGCCAACACCCCGCATTGTGTGCGCATCAATAGCGTGATATTTCTGATGAACCCTGCCATGGCAGAGTGGTGCTAAGTCCTAGGGACTTCTGAGAGCCCTTTGAGGGCCTTCGTATGGGGCAAGGAATGGGAATGCTGGTGAGCCCTTGGGAGGCCACGAGGGGATGGATCCGAGGGCTAGAGAGAGACAAGAGCCCTCACAGGCAATGTAGCCCAGCCCCTTGTTGTACAGAAGAAACAGGTCCAGGGCAGGGCAGGAACTTGCTCAAGGTCACATATTCTGTTGCAGACCTGGAACAGAATCCCTTGCCTTCTGATTGCAAATCCTCAGACCACACTGCCTTAGGGAATTGCTTGAGAGACTTTAGAGATGGGGAACTGCCTTTATTTCAGATAACGGAGCTGTTGTACTGGTGTGCCATCTGGCAGAGGCCACAGACTGGACAGCAGCACATGACCAGCCAGTCCTCAGCTATGGATCCCTGGAGGAGAGAAAGTGAATGGGAGACCTTTCAGGAGTGGGAGAGAGAGATGATGAGGGGCCTCTGAGGATAGGATGCATCTGAGAGGAAAGAAGATGGAGATTGAGAAGGGAACGAGTTGGGGGAGCCAATGGGGCTGGAGATGGAGAGGGGGCCTACAGGGTTGTGGAGGTGTGGGTTTAGATGCACTCCAAGAAGCAGAGATGGAGGGTAGATGGGGGCGAGGGATGTTAATGGAGATTCGGACTGGATGGCTACGGGTAACGGGGGCTCCTGCTTAGAGGACAGATGAGAAGAATTGTGGAGATGTTGATGGAGCGAGGGGTGGGGGTCCCATGAGAGATGAGTTTGGACAGCCATGGAAAAGGCCCGTAGGAACAGATGGAGGTTTGGATGAGTGGATTTATAGAAAAGTAGCTAGCGATATAGAGGGGAGTCCTACAGGGACAGGAGCAGCATAAAGGAGGAACACAAGAGAACTGGAAACTTGGATGGAAGTCCAATGGAGAATGGAGATTTGCATGGTAGGACCTTGGGATTGAGTAGCTCATGAGGGATAAGGATGGGAAGGCAGTGAGGGATTGTACTGGGGACTTGATTGGGTAAAGACCCGTGGAAAATGGAAAGGCCATAGAGGCTGGCGTCTTCTAAGGCCAAAGGTAGGGCTCCGTGGGGATAGAGCAGGGGGACGTGGGGAAAGGGATTGGCTGACCTGGATACCTTGAGTAACCCTTAGGGAGGTCCTCATAGCCACCAGGGCCCCTGGCAGGTAGGGGAGACAGCAACATTCTCCTTGGGTGTCAGCCACAAAACAGGCCAGCAGGCAGGGGAGCAGGGCGCCGTTCACACCTAGGGGGCAGCCTTAATCGGCCTCCCTCCACCTCATGAACAGCCTTCCCTCCCTCCCCCTAAGTGCCCTCAGCTCACACAAGTTTGTGCACCTGAAGTCAAACAGGGCTCTGTTCCAGTCATTCGTAGCCGGGAGATGGGGGCTGCGAGGGAGGGATCTGTAGAAGACATCCAAGGCCTGGGAAGACACAGGCGGTGGCTGCTTACCCACGATCGGCTCCTGGAAGGGGTAGGGCTCCAAGTGACAAGGCTTTGGGTTGTAGCTGGTATCCAGAGAGTGCAGATCCCTGGAGGAGCCCACCTCCCGGGAGAAGAAACTGAAGTGACTCATCTCGTAAAAACTCATCACTGAGGAAGGAGAAAGCGCTCCCACTGGTGTGAATTCCTCTGGTCAGCTGTGGTCTAGGCCAGGGATAGAGAAAGGGAAGGCTGAGGGCCACCCCCCCCCAGGTTGCTCCCCTGCCCCCATCCCTCTTGAGCTTCGACCTGGGATGAGCACAGGCAAGTACCACACAGTCCCGGGTGGAGGCAGCCACCCTCCACCACAATCAGGGACACACTAGCACCCCCATACACACCCAGAGATCCAACTGGGTCTGAAAAGATGAGACCGAAAGAAAGGAGGCTGATGCTGGTCCTCTGACTCTGCCCTCCCTGTCTGGGAAACCTGGGGAGGGGGACCGCCTAGTAGTCCTCCTGTCCCTAGCTCAGCTCTTTCTCCATTCCAGGGCCAGTCAGAATACAAATATAACCTCCCATCTCCCTGTCATGCTAAGGTTCCTGAAGTACTTTCAGCCCAATCCCACTCAGAGGTAGGGAATGCAAATGTGCTTGTTTCCATTTGATAGATGAAGAAGCAGGGCTGGAGAGGTTGTGATTTGCTCAGGGTCACAGAAGGCATGTACAGCATGAGGTGCTGGATTTGAACGGGTCTCTCCAACCCTATTTCTGTCACCCTAAGCCCTTCTCCAAGCCTTGTTTCCAATCCCCTCCTTCCTTACTCCACCCCCCCCCCCGCCCTGCAGTCCTCCTTCCCCCCTCCCCCCTATGCTGATGACCAGCCCTATCCCCAATCCCCTCTTTTGCCCTCCCCCACCCCAGCCCTGCAGCCCTCCTGTGCTGGTGACCAGCCTTTTCCCCTACTTCTCATTTCCATTCATGGTCTCATGCCATCTAGAGCTAGAAGGGAGCTTGGAAGTCATTTAGTAACCCAACCCCCCCCTCCCCCCCCTTTTAGAGAGGAAGAAACAGAAAGAGGGAAGTCTCTCTCCTTAGATCACACTGCTAGGAAGTAGGAGAGTGCCAAATCTGAACCCAGGTCTTCTGACCACAGTGTTCTTTCCACCACCTTCCAGCTCCCTCCCAGCCTTGGTCCTCTCCATCTCAGGCACAGGGAGGTGGTCCAGAGCACTAGTTCTGGAATCAGAGGACCTGGGTTCAGATCCTGTCTTTGATGCTTACTCCTTGTGTGACCTTGAACAAATCATCTCATCTGCCTAGGCCTCAGTTTCCAAGTCAGTAAATTGAGGGGGCTGAATTGGCGGGCTTCTGAGACCCCTTCCAGCTCGAGAACCATGCTAAGGTCCTCTGATGCTCTACCTGTCGATGCTTAGCCCCCTCCCACCACCTTCCCTCCTGGACTCCTTAGTGTGGGGGCCAAACCTGGATGTTACAGGAGGGAGGGGAGAAGCTGGCAGAGCCAGGAGTTGGCCTGGCCAGGGCCGGAGGAGAGAGGGCCTATGGAGAGTCGTAGTCCTTTTGCTTTGGGGAGTGGGTAAGAAAGGAAAGGGGCATCCCAAGGTGGCCCGGATGGTCCCTGCTGGGCCTTTTATGGGCCCAAGTCCACCAGTTCCCTTGCCCCTCCCTCTACCCTCCAACCCGGTCCTGCAGCCTCTGCTCTCTCCGCCCTCGCGTTCTCTCGCCACTAGAGGGCCCTTAAATTGTGTTCTCCGCAAGGGCGGAATTGCAGAAGAGGGCTCGAGCAGGTGGCAGGAGGGGTGAGGGATCCGACGCCTGGGTCCTTGAGGGAAGCGATGGGGAGGCGCAGTAGCGGCCCCACCGAGCGTCTAGGTCTCCTAGGGTCCCCGACTCCGGATATAGAATCATAAACTTAGAGAACCTTGGAATGTTAGAACAGGAGCGGTCCTTAGAGACCAGCTACTCCCCACTCTAAAGGGAGAAACTGAGGCCCAGAGAGAGGCTTGCCCAAGATCCCAGTGAGTGTAAAGAGAAATCTAGAACCTTGAGGGAAGGCCAGGAGCTGGAGTACAGATCCCTGAGGGGCAGAGGACTGGAGGGGGGGATGGCAGGACGCCCGATTCCTTAAGGGGGGTGGGGACTGGGGTTCAGGATGCCCAGATTCTGGAGGGGTTAGGGCTGGGAGATCACGATACTGGGGGACCTCTGAGAGGGGTGGGGGTTCAAGATCTCTGAGCGGTCCCTGAGCAGCGGGGTCTGGGAGCATTGGGATCGTAAGCCGGGGGTAGGGTTGGGGGTGGGGGTGGAGGCTAGAGTTCAGGATGCCTGGGTAACTGAGGCAGGAGAGGATGACGGAATCAGGATGCCTGGGTCACAGGGACTTCTGAGCCCTTGAAAGTTGCTGGGGGAACTACGCAGACGCTGGAGTCTGAGAGGCGGTGGTGGGAGGCTGGGGTTTAGAATGCTTGGGTCTCCGAGGACCAGGAGCAGCCACGAGAGGGGAAAAGAGCCGGGGTCTGGAAGCACGGCGGTCTGGCCAGGCGGGGGGCGGGGGAAGGGGTGGGTGAGCCGAGTGGAAGTGACAGGAGAGGAAGAAAAATGGGCGAAGAAATGAGAGCGGACGCGCGGGCTGCGGCGAGTCCGGGAGAGGGGGCGAGAGTGGCGGCGGCTTGGACTCCCCGAGCCCAGTCTCAACTCCCTAGGGACGCCCCAACCCCGAAGCTGCCCCCCCCCCCCCCTCTTCCTCCCTGCGGACCCTCGGCCCTCTTTCCTGGCCTGTCCCACCCCTTGGCCCCTCTCCCCAGCCTCCTCACCACGCCTCCCTCAGCAGACGCATCTACTCCTCCCCTTCCCACCCCACCCGCGTTTTCTTCCTCCTCCACATTCCGTTCGTCCCGACCATCTATCCCCGTCCGCTTGGGTTCTCTTCCTCCCCCACGTTCCGGTCCCCAACTTCTATTCTCCCTTTTTTCGTGTTCTCTCCCTCCTCCCTCCCCCTGCCCTTCCATGTTCTCCAAGTGTTCCCTTAGGTTCTCTTATTCTCCTTCCTCTGCCCCCTCACAGACCTCTGTGCTCTCGAGTGCTCCCCAGAGTTCTGTCCCTTTCCCCCTTCTTTTCGTCCTCCCCGCACAGTCTATCCCCCTTTCCTCTCTCCCCTTCCAGCGTTGCCCAAGTTCTAGACTCACATCGGCGTTCTCTCTCTCTCATGTTCTCCAACCACCTCACCTCCGCCCCCCAACATACACATACTCTCCTGGACACTTGCGTTCCATTCCCCCCACCCCGCTTTCTGTTATCTACACACACACACACACACACACACACACACACACACACACACACACA